TCGATCCGTGGAACTTGGGTCTGCCCCGTGACCTCCTGCCAGCAGGCGTTCAACACTTCACATGGCCTTAAGGTGCACATGGCCTGGCACAAGTGTCGTGGTGACGTTACCGCCACTTAGTGGCGAATGGTGGTTGTTGTGAGCTGTTTGTCAGAGCCGTGTGTGAGTGGATCGACCGTGAGCTATCCGTGGCTGCGTCTCCGGCGCTGTGGCCGTGATGTTGATGCTCCTCGGGCCTCCGAGGTGCGGGGCGCACCACAACAACACGAATTGAGTAGCTCATAGTTCATAGTTCCATTTATTTGGTATAGCCCTGTGAGCCATTTGGCTCTTGAATCGGGTGCAACCGCAACAAACAAAAAACATGAACAAGAAAACATCTTAAAATGATTATGTGACTGTGCAAACAGAAAATCCAGGAAAAAAAAACATCAAAATATTCCTGAAATAGCACCATACACCAACGCTGTGTGCAAAAAATCCCAGTGGGATGCAAGCAAACAACAAAAACAACCACAATACAACTAAGATTAAGGCCATCAGTCAAACTCCGTACTACAATAAACAAAAACATGGCCAAACAAAAAAAACTTTTCGAAATCACCAAAATAAAAGCCATAAATGCAATGTAACAGTGATCATAGGGACTGTGACCGAATTTTTAACAATAAACTATATAAATAACGCGGTCACGTGACACACTTCAACCAATCCGGGGGCTTACATGTTTGGGAGGGGCGCACCTCTGGTTGGCTGCTTGCTCGCGGTCACGTGACGCACTTCAACCAATCCGTGCCGTGTTAATCACAGTCACAGAATGACAGAAGGACAGATCTGGGCTATTATATATGTGTATCAGCACCGGCCCTCGATGACTGTAGAATTTTCCTCTTTTCAACTTGGGTGCCTTCTTTATAATTTCAATTATCGTACGATGGGCATCACATCATGAGACGAATAATCGATTTGGTAATCTCACCGAGCAGCATGTCCCTTGTGTCAGATAATTGAATGTAGTGGGAATTCGTTTAAAGACGGAATTGAGCAAAATCAAGTGCAAAACCGAATTTCATGATTTTTTTTCATTCAGTCATCGATAACCGGGCTGAGGACCATCAACTTGCTACAGTTGAGAACTCGATTTATTCATGGGCGGCTGAAACCTGGATTCGAACCGAGGATGTCAGCAGTGCTAGCAAAGCGCCATGACCTATGAGCCACCCAGCCACTATTTCTTCAACCTCTTCATGGTAATCGAAGCGAATCGTAGAGCGAGACGGAGGCAAAGACCACCCTCACTCCTGCTGGCGACTGCAGCAATGCCGAGGCAGTCTGGCATGGCTGGTTGACGCCAGGTTGAAATATACAATTTTCACAACGACTAGCAGCCACATTTGGTCATTTAATTCATTCCTAGTACTCCTAAGAAGTCCCGTCATGCTGAAATTGCCCAATTATTTTGTAACCGTCCGGTTAAGTGGTGCGGATCTGCAGAGCACAGAGAAGGCGAGGAAGAATGTAGACTATTGTGGTGAATATGTAATTATTCTCGGTGGTGAGTGAACACACTTCTGTGCGGGAGGCAATTGCCGTCCAGCGGAACCGATGGACCCTACCCAATGGGGGCATTGTCACTGACGTACGTTGGTACAGATGCATGTTGCGACTAAATGGCTCAAGACAAACACCCAGTTGGAATTCTATCCCATTGTTGGCAATGGAGGCATCGGCACTCTCTCCACAAAGAATCAGGTGGAAAGGAACATTTGCTGACATTTATATTCGGCCCTTTATGCCAGTGCGTAGCTCTCTAAATGTGTTTTCGGCACGTTGTCCTAGGTTTTCGCTCCATGTGCTGTAAGCGAAACGTCGGACACCGTGCCACAGAGCGGCACAACCCGAAAACCGTTTTAGGGGCCCTTTTTACAATTTATTTTAATTGACCAGGTAAGGCCCACTGAGTAATATAGTTTTTTTTCAGAAGCGACCTAGCCACCAATGATAGCTCATAGAAATGGTTCATCACATGGAAATGTATAGCAACCAAATACTCTAAATGCACGTATCTAAATGTGGAGGGAAAAATTGTAGGACCCGGGAGACAAAGCGACGCGATCACGGGCAGAACATGCAAGCTCCAAATATACAGACATCAGGGTCAGGATCGAACCCACGACCTCTTGTATACCAGTAGGGGTAGCTAACATCTCACCACCATGGCGCCCCATTTGCTTCCTTTTGTGAAACCCAATCAATAGCTATCACCGTTTGCCTTGAAATGGCAGTGATGTCACCAGAGTGCTTGTTTCAGACTGGATGCCCTATTGAGGTCGCAATGCCCTATCTGTGTGTGTGCGCTACTTACTGGTAATGTAAAGACTCTTATATTGAAGTGGGAGGGAGGGGGCAGTGCACAAAGACAAAGATCCTTCCTCCTCCTTGTAGCCTACACAGGCTGTCGAGGCAAATGCTATTAGCGAGCACTTGTGAACTTGTGAACACAATTTCACACGCATATATACATACGTATATGCACAATATAAACCGCTATTTGTTTAGAAGGAATGGTTACTTCACCATGGCGATTGGGCCAGGCTAGGTGGACTTTGAGGCCAAGTGAAGTATGGTAGGAGGTCATGGGATAGACCAAGGTCTTTACGGGGTTAACGGAGACTGGCAGATGCACCACCCGTTAAAGTGGTTGTGTCCGTAACAAAACACAAAGCACTCAAAGACAAACAGCCTGAGTCACACAGGCTGTTGGGGCAAGTGCGGTTTACGAGTGCATTTTGATGAGGGCAGACAAGGTTTACAAGGGCGGTTGTGTGGCTAGAACCAACACCCGGGCCACCTCCATCTCTCCAGTACTGATGTTTACACGCTCATTCAAGGCTGAGTTGGGCCTAGGGCAGGGGTCGGCAACCAAAATAACAATAAGATAATTTTTTTTCGAATTCGGTAAAAACAAATATTTCAAGAGCCGCAATGCACTGTGGTGAATACGAGACGGTCTTTGATAAAGAACGTCACAAAGTAGTCCTTAATGAGCCGGATGCGGCTCCCTAGCCGCAGGTTGCCCTGCCCATGGTGAACTGGACTTCCACGGTGAACTGGACTTCCATGGTCAACTGGATTTCCACGGTGAACTGGACTTCCATGGTGGACTGGACTTCCACGGTGAACTGCACTTCCACGGTGAACTGGATTTCCATGGTCAACTGGATTTCCATGGTCAACTGGACTTCCACGGTCAACTGGACTTCCACGGTGAACTGGACTTCCACGGTGTACTGGACCTCCACGGTGAACTGGACCTCCACGGTGAACTGGACTTCCACGGTGAACTGGACTTTCAATGGCCATGGATCGTCAACCAAAATAACAAGAAGAGACGTTGCTTTTTCGAATTTCAAGAGACCGCACATTGTGGTCCTTGAAGAGCCACTGCATGCGGTGGCTCCGGAGCCGCAGGTTGCCGGCCACTGACCCCAGGAGGATACCCAGGACAGGTTCAGATTTCACTTTGACGCTGACGTTTCGCAGTGGCTGGGAATCAATCTCAGTTCACACACACACACACACTTGCTTATGAATACAGCTCAGTCATGGGGAACGAGTACATTTTTTGTTGGTCTGTGTTTATTCACGGTCTTCGGGGAACACGCACATAAAGCTCGGTACCGTGTAAAGTTGGGTTACAAAGTGAATGATTATTATCTGAGTTAACACAGGACATGGGTCCCATATAAACCGAAGCACACCTTTTCTGGCGTGAAGAGGCGCCCATTTTACTGTGCAAAATCCCAAACGAAAAGCATCGTAACATTCTTCAAGCTCCTTCAGCTTTATCTGCGCAAGCAATGACTACATCTTCGCCTTTAATAAGTTTCGCATGCCCACTTAAAGCCCCGTCTTTTGACCATCCTCTATCATAATATAACGACCAAAAAATTACCCCAAGCCAATGTGCAGCCTAACGGCTCTTCAAAAATAAACCAAGGTCTCCGAATGGCCGAAAGAGGCCTCCACAGGGATTGGTCGGGAGGAAGGCTTTTAAAGTGATTGGAGAAAGGGTTTGAATGAGACTAGGCAGGAAACAGAGTGGAACCCAGAGGTGAAGTTTGTGATCCTTTATAGGGGAGGGACAGGGATTGGCTAAGGGAAATGCAGTGAGGGAACGTTCAAGCATGGGGACTGGAATGAAATATAGGGGCAGAGCATGGCGGGGGGAGGCGACTTTCGAGGGAAGTGAAGCTGAAGACAAGATTGAAGCCAAGAGGTTCCGGTATATTGTGGCCTTGTCCCAACAAAGTGGCTCTTCTTACTTCGTCGTCAAGAGTCGTTACTGTAGCACTCACACCTCGACTTTGTACTTGAGGGGCTCACAACTCACAGAGAAGGATGTGTTTAGGGAGCTTCTCCTCCGGCCTTGTTCAGAGCCGCTGTAACATCACGAGAACCGAGTCCTATTGTCGACTCTGCCCCTCTCTGGCCTCTCCATGTCCTGCGAAGAAGGGCCATTTGCCCAAAACGTCTCCCTATTGTGAAGTTTTTTTCTTTTTAAAGCCACAGTGCTGTTGTTAAATTCGTTGTTGTTTTTGCTGATGTTAACTGTGCTTGTGCATCACTGCGGACGCAGCAGCAGCAGCATCAGCAGGTAACTCCTTTAATCCGATTGTGGCGAACGTAGGGCCTCCAGTGTCCGGAGGGTTCACGTTTCCGACCGTACATATGTATCAGTTAACACGTAGGCTTTCGCGATCAATATTATTCATAATAAAGGTTTTTGGGTTAGATCGCGTTATTTATAAATGTGTCGAAACCCTCCACCACCTGACACGGCCAATCAGCAAAATAAAGTGTCACATTGACAAAAGACAATTAGTTCACTACTTTAGCCCACCGGTGTGTTGAAGAGTGAATCCACAACATTTACAGTTTGAATACGACATATGTATGTATGTTGACTTTCTTTCGCACCGTATGTGGCCAACCGTGCCAATCGGAGGTGCGGGGGAAGGACAACAAACTAAACACAAAAAGCAGTTCTAAAGAAATTAATTTTCAATTTAGACCGATCGCACATCTAGCATTTGATATTCAATCGACACGTCGCGACGTTGCCCGGGAACCACAGAGCTCTCGCACCGCTATGCCTTCATCCAGCAGCGGATTGACAATGGCCGATGACGACGATGAGCTTGGCGAGAAGGTTCCGGCTCGCTGTGCCCTCAGTCTCGGATGACCTCGGACTGCTCGGACACCACGTGGCCGTCTTTGGTCTCGATGGTCTTGATCACGACCATTTTCTTGGACTGCTTGGTCTCCACCGCCTTTGTGGGCACGGAGTAGTTGTATGTGGAGCCTCCGCTGTAGCCTGCATCCACGGGACAGCGACAGAGGGCAGTTGTTCACGGCCAGCAATGCACAACGTGCGATAATTTACTCGGAAGGTTTCCCTTGCTGTACGTGTGTGTTCGCCATCTGCGATGTTGCGCTGCATGCACGGCTAACCTACTGCTGCCCAAAATTCACGACGCTGGCTGTGTGGTCGGACGCGGGACAACGCTGTTTGCGTCCTGAGTGCGCTAGTCGGCAGGCAGCTGTATTCTCGTGCAGTGCATTGCTGGTTGGTTGATTGCACGGTCCACGCTACGCGATTTCGCTTTGTGCTCCCCTTCTTTTGGAATGCATCCACCGCACAAAGCTAGGGAAACCTGTGATTACGTCTAATCACAGATTGCGATTGTTTACAATAACGAGGATCATAATTTATTGCCCTATGTCGATCCCCTTGCTGGATGAAGGCCTCCCCATGCCGCGTCGGTCACGGGGGGGTTGTGTGACCATACTTCACCGCCGCTGGTCTGTGCGCGTCGATGAAGGTCCAGGACCTTGGTTTGGTTTTCGCTCGCCAGTGATGTTTAGCTGTGGCTGGGGAATCAAACTCGAATCACCAGGTTCCCAGCGCTGTGTGCGAGCCGACCACTGTGCCGCCAAAGGATCGCGGTTCGAACACGGCAGGCCGCCCTGGTCCCTACTGCGGGTGTGTCATTTGTAAAATACTGACCGTCTGCATCGCAGTGGAGTTGAAAGGTCCCGTGACGTCTTTGAAACGAGACTAGGCAGTTGTGTGCCAACTTTGACAAATTAGAAAAATTACACCGCAAATTACTCAATTTGGGATGACGCGTAGTGACACCGCCCCCTCGAACTGTGACACTACCGCAGACCATGTCTGTGAAATGTAGCAGCACATTCGTGGTAGCTCGAATACCAAATGTACTAAATTATGATACATTTTAAAGTGACAATTCATATTATGATTATCACAGAGAGCTTACCGGTGGAGGCTGACAGTCCCACGGTGGAGGTCCCAGAATAATTGCCTCCTCCTCCTCCTCCGTAGTAGTAGGGAGTGGTATCGACGCACGTCTTGTAGGTGACACTGGAGGCGTTGCCTCCGATCTGTGACGAGTACACGTTGAGTCTGCGGGAAGAGCGTCGGCGCGGCCGTTTTTGATTCGCTCCCTCGGGCTGGACGGCACGCGCTCGAGACCTGGCGGTGCACGTCACCCGCGCTGGGCCTCCTCTCGGTCGGGGAGTGCCCCCACTCGTTGAAGGTCGTCCAACACACCACGGCCGCACAATCGCGACACTTCACATGACGTTTTTATTTTATTTTACCAGGTAAGGCCCGCTGAGCTATATAACTCTTCTTCAGAAGTGGCTTATCACGTGGAAATCTATTGCGGCCGAATGCTCTAAATGCACGTTGATTCTAAATGTGGAGGGAAAAACCGGAGGACGCAGAGAAATATCCACGCAACCACGGGGAGAGAGAGACACGCAAACTCCAAATATACAGCAGGTGTCAGGGTCGGGATCGAATCCACGACCTCCTGTATACCAGGCGAGGTAGTTAACATCTCTCCACACACCTGGACTCCTCTCCCTCCAGCAGCTTGCGGTAGGTGACGATCTCGATGTCCAGAGCCAGCTTGACGTTCATGAGCTCCTGGTACTCGCGCACGTGTCTGGCCATCTCTTGCTTCGCCTTGTGGATCTCCTCCTCCAGTTGGGCGATGGCCGCCTTGGCCTCCCGGATGTCGGCCTCTCCGCGTCCTTCCGCCTCGGCGATGGCCGCCTCCAGCTTGGCGCGCTGTCGCGTACAAACGAAGACAAAGATAAAGGCCTCCCCGTGTAGCCTGAACAGACTTGGGGCAAGTGATGTTAGCGAGCACCTATGAAGGCCGGCACGGCACATGAGGCGGTGGGTTGCCAGCACCACGCCCGACCGCCTTTGTCTCCCGAGTGGCGATGTTTACACACCGCACCAGGCACTCAATTGAGGCTGAGTCGACCTATGGGAGGTATAGATAACCGTCACTTGTGTTGACTGTGAGCGGGAGTCGAACTCGGGTCGCCGGGTTCGTAGTGCAGCGCGCTAACCACTGCACTACCGCTCCACACACACGCACGTGCGCAGAGCGAATGAATATTTTTTAATTAAAAGCAACGTCGATTCTTACGAACGTGATTCGGCGCGTTCATCGTGAGCGTCGTTTCGCCATTACCTGCTTCTTGAGGGCGTCGATCTCCGCCCGCATGCGATGGATGTGGCGATTGTTGTCGTTGATCTCGGTCCTGATGACTCGCATCTCCTCGTCGTTCCTGCCACTGTCCGCGTGGAGCCTGTCAAACTGGGAATGGCGCCCACGTCATCATCATCGTCATCATCAGTATTGTCAGCTCCAGCCATACCAGTAGCACCACCAGTAGCACCACCTCTACCATGCTGTTGTGTACTTATGACAGTTTTAGCACTGTCTGAAAGGGAGTGTATGTATATAGGGCTCAACGCTTGCACAGCTGAATTCCAGCCGAGTCTGTTTGAGCCACCCACCCACACACTCACCAAATCCACCTACCCACCAGAAACCAACCACCCACCCACCAAACCGACGCACAAACCCACCCACCAACCCAAGAACCCACCGATCCAAACCTACGAATACACACCCACCCACCGAAACTGACCCGGGAAATATTCAGTGAGATTAATCCCGGGACACACGCCTCGGGGTTTATGGGGGGGAGGTGGGGGGCTGGTCACCTTGTCCTGGTAGAAGGCGTCCGCCTCGGCTCGGCTCCGCGCCGCGATGGTCTCGTACTGGTGACGCACGTCGGCGATGATGCCATCAACGTCCAGGTTGCGGCTGTTGTCGATCTCCACCAGCACGTTGGTGTGCTTGATCTGGGCCTCCAGCTCGCTGAGCTCCTGCCGAAGGGCCGTGCCCGTTAGGGCGAATTATTTAGATTTCAGTTTCAATGGGAAAGCAGCCAGGAGCGCAAAATCGCTGGGAAATTCATTCTTTTTTTCTTGGTTAGCCATATAGCACAGACGGTCACTGCATCGCATGTGCTTTCAGATGTGCTTCTGCGGCCGTCTGGAACGCTCTCCTTTCCGCTATTAGGAAACCACTGGAGCGATACACTTTTCAATCTACATTGTAAACTCATTTCCTTCAGATTTGCTTTTTGTGTTTTGTTTGTTGTCCTTCCCCCGCACCTCCGATCAGCACGGTTGACGACGTACGGTGCTAAAGAAGTTCAACATACATACGTACATCTTCACGAAATAAAATTTTTGGGGGGCGCAGGGTCGGTGCGGTGGCTGGCACTGACCCTGCGGTGCTAGCCACCATTACAGTACGTGGCCATAAACGGCAAATGAGCGTGCATTATGAATGAATGCTGTGGTGAGATGCTGTCTCCCTCGTCTGCTATGAAGGATTGCGTGGGTTCGATCCCGCACCCTGATGATGCCTGTTGTGTATTTGGAATTTGCTTGTTCTCCCTGTGGTGGTCGAGTGAGGTTTTTCTCCGGATCTTCTGGGTTTCACCTCCACATTTAGAAACATGCATTTGTATTATTTGGCTATTTCTATAAAGTGAACTATCATTCGTGACCAGGTCGCCTCTGAACAAGCGCTAATAGCGCAGTGGGCTTAAGCTGGTAAATAATCAAATAAAAGGGAATCTCTAATGGGACCAGCTCACGCGTGGCATCGACATGGGGTGTGGCATCGTGACTCCATTGGGAGTGGTGACAGCGTGGCGAGGCCTTCATCCAGCAGTGGATGGTGATTGCGATTGTTGAACGCCTCGAGCGTTAAGATACGCACCTGAGCAAAGATCTCCCGCAGGAAGTTGATGTCCTCGACCAGACCTTGCATTTTGGCCTCGAGCTCTATCTTGATGACGTTGGCTGCATCGACGTCCTGTGAACGAGAACGAGGCCATTGCTTTTCTCGCCATCGTTGCACGAGACGTTAAGAGTGATGGAATACCGCCGCATCTGCACACGCTACATTCGTAAATCTGACGAGCAGCGAAAGCCTTCCAATGACACCATGGCCATAGAGGTGGTGGGTATTGGTCCATGTGAAAGGAATCAAGTGTGCCCCCCCCTCCCCCTTCCCCCCATGCGGAATTTCCCCCTCTTCATAGCCCGGCCCTCTGGACTCTTCTGGCCCAGTGCAGTTGCACCGCCTGCACACTCGACAGCTATACCGCCGTATGGGTCTCTGTAAGTCTATGGGTCTCTGTGTGAATCTGCGGGTCTCACATAAGTCCATGGGTTAGGCCTATCCATTTGCGTTTACAGGTCACTAAGCCTATGGGTCTCTTATGCTAGTCAGTGTATGGGTGTCTATGTTAGTCTGTGGGTCTCTCTATATGTGAGCCTCTGGGTCCAGTGGCATCGCTTGCTTGGCATGGGCCCTGGTGCAAGGAATTAAAAGGGGGATCCCCAAACCTGTCCCAATTTCCTCCCCCTTCGTAGCCCGGCATATGGAATCCCACCGGTCTGCGGGTCCCGGGTACAAGACGGGAATATTTTCGACCTGGCCACGAAAAAACGTGTTTATAATTTTAGCACGCAGTCAATTCTGTCACCGCAAGGGCCTCTTGCAGCCACATGAGTAAGAGACCTGTGTGTGTGTGTGTTAATGTGTGGCCTGCCAAAGGTGTTGAAAGTGCTGGTTAATCCTCGACGTTGCTGACCCGCCCATACTGAACATCTGTGACAAAGAGCATCACAGCTCATCGGATTCCTCCTCCTGCAGTCTAAATAAAGATTGTCACGTGGCTCATCGGTAGAGGGTGCGCGGCGTCGCAATCGGAAGGTTGCGAGTTCAAATCCTGCTCGGGGGTTGCCTCGGCCAATCATCCCTTCCAGGGGTTGATACAATGAGTACCACTTTTGCGGGGGGGGGGGGGGGGTGGAAGTCAACCATAGTTATCCTATGGAGAGACTCACCTCCCACATAGGGAAGTCTGGATTTTACACCCAAGAACTCGGGGCTGTAAAGGGGGAGATGAGCACTGACCCGTTGTTCTTATGGGCACGAAATGAGCAGAGGCAAGGCTCTCCACACCCGCCGGTTTAGATGCCGTCAACACGAGAGAAGCAAGTCACCAGCTCGCGCTGTGAGGTGTCACCTTCTTGATGACGACGTACTCGTTCTCCTTGTGAATGCGTGCGGTGATCTCCGCCTCGTACCTGTAAATAACAAAAACACGAAAGATCCCCCGTGTAGCCTTGAGAGACTGTTGGGGCAAGCGCTGTTAGCGAGTAGCACTTATGGAGGCCGGCACGGCACACGAGGGGGTGGGTGGCCAACACCACGCCCGGACGCCTTTGTCTCCCCAGCGGCGATGTTTATACACCGCACCAGGTACTAATTTGAGGCTGAGTCGACCTAGGGGCCGTTAGCGGGAATCGAACTCGGGTCGCCGGGTTCGTAGCGCAGCGTAGCGCTAACCGCTATACCACTGCTCCTTACGATAAATATATAACAGACACACAGACACGCGCACACGCGATTATTAATGGCACCAAAACAGGCTTGGCGTGATTTGATGTGTATGCTCATCCGACCGACTCGGGCTCACCACCCCAATTCTAATAATCGCTGAATGATTGGTGTCGCGCTGGTGCATTCACTCGTACGTCCACGAATGAGTGGTGATGCTTCTTTGACAGCCCTCTTTGGTTCCTTGCCCTGGGGCAAGGAATCGGATGGGATTCCCCTGTTCAGTGTGTGTAGCCTGGCACCTAGCCTCCCTGTAGCCCGTGGACTCTGGTGGACCCCAGTGGACCCCAGTAGACCGTGGTGCAGTGGCACTAGGGTTACCCTGGCCACTGGGCATTGTGGGCCTTGTGTGACGTTAGTGATGCAAGGCATAAGCAAAGTAGGCAAATGCATTGGGCCTCAAGTGGCTCACGGGGAAGAGATGCATAAAAAATATGGCATTGCAACAAATACTAGCTCAAAATCAAACTCGTATAAAAAAAGAAATCTAATCGTTCTAAAACCGCTACAACTTTACTTTAATTGATATTTATTAACTAACTATTTCAAACAACGTTCATACGTATTCTTGGTTCTTTCGGTAAAGTCACGTAGAAGGGAAACAATAATAGTTATTTATTATTTATTATTTTATTGTTTCCCTTCTACGTGACTTTACCGAAAGAACCAAGAATATGAATCCCTGCAGTCACGAAAGCTTTAAATCAAAATTTAACGTTCAGACGATTCAGTTGTGTAGCTTGTCCAGCATGTGATGTTTGTAGTCACGTGACGTGTCCAAACACAGGCAGACCTCGCTTAGCGCTCAGGGTTGCGTTCCTGGAGGAGTGAGCGCTAACCAAATCGGCATTCGACGGTGCCGCGCTAAGTGAGGTCTGCCCGTATATGAATTGTCTGCTTCGAGCACCCCCAGTGAGGAAGTAGCAGCGCTACCATCACCACCACCACCACCGCCGCCTTTCGGCCTGTGCCCAGCAACCGTGAACTATGGCACAACTCCTCCACGAGGTCTCACTTGCTCATGAAGTCCTCCACGACGGCCTGCATCTGGCCCAGGTCTCCGTTCGCCCGGCCGTTCTCGTGGCCCAGGCCGTCGAGCTGCCGCCGGAGCCCGTTGATGTAGGCCTCGAACATCTCGTCGACGCTGGAGCCGGTCGTGGTCTTCTCCTGCAGCGCGTACCACTGTGCCTCCAGCACCTTGTTCTGCTGCTCCAGGAAGCGCACCTGAAACAACGTGAACGCGAAGGAAGAGGCAAAGTGGGCTCAGGAAGGGGGGGGGATTGGCTCGAGCGGGGGCCGACCGCTGCCGTGCTCCGCGGGGGGACGTGAATCCGATTCCGTGCCAAGGTGCTGCGTAGCCTCCTTCTGCGTGGCAGTAGCGAGCGAGTGTTCTTGGGCACGAGTTGCATGCAGCTCAATGCATGTACGTATGTTAAACTTCTTTCGCGCCGTACGTAGACAACCGTGCTTCTCAGAGGGGCGGGGGAAGGACAACAAACTGGACAGAAAAAAAAGCAGTTCTAAAGAAATTCGTTTTCAATTCAGATTTAAAACGGATTAGCTCCAGTGGTTTCCTAATATAGGCCGCAGAAGCGCATCTGAAAGTGCGTGATGCGGTGACCATCTTTGTTCCATGGTCAGCCAATAGCTGCTGCGAGGATGACCGGCGTTTGCGTGATGATGGTTTAAACTCCTGGACGAGTGTTCTTGGCCACCTGGTATATATATAGTACTTCAGCAACTATCCCAATGGTCATTCCAATGTAGAGGATGTTAATCACAACTACACAACTCCCTTTGCAACCTTGCATATCAGTCATGCCCTTCATATCAGTCATAGTGGTCATGCCTTTATTATGCATGTCATGCATTGTTTAAATGCAGGCCTAAACAAACGTGGCTCTTTCATCACGGGTTTTCAAAAGGAGCCCAGCTTCTGAAAAGAGGATGTGTGATTCTCATGTTGAGCGCCATGTAATGGACAGTGAGGGATGGGCGACAGCATTGGGGGAAGCCTTCTGCCAACTGTGGATGGGACTCATCGTTGACGATCGTGAGGGATTATGAGGCATGTAGTGTAAGCGTATTCACTGTAAGGCTTCTGAGAAGAGTATTTGGCTGCAATACATTTCCACGTGATAAGCCACTTTGTTGAGCTATAATTTGCGGGTTGGATCGTTTCTGAATAAGAGCTGTATTGCTCAGTGCACCTCACCTGGGTAAATATGATAAGGGGGACTCAGAGATGAACCTGGACTTCTGACCTCCTACCGAAATATTTTCTTGTGGTGGTGGTAGTGTTGGTTGTAGTGGGTGGTGGTGGTGTTGGTGGTATTGGTGGTACTGTTCGTGGTAGTGTGGGTGGTAGTGGTGGTGGTAGTAGGTAGTGGTGGTAGTGGTGGTGGTAGTGTTCGTGGTAGTAGTGGTGGTAGTTAGTGTTGGTGATAGTGGTGGTGATAGCGGTGGTGGTAGTGTTAGTTGGTGATGTTGGTGGTATTGGTAGTGTTGGTTGTAGTGGGTTTTGATGGTGTTGGTCGTAGTAAGTGGTGGTGTTGGTGGTGTTGGTGATAGTGGTGGTGGTAGTCAGTGGTGGTGGTAGTTAGTGGTGGTAGTTAGTGGTGGTGATAGTGGTGGTGATAGTGGTGGTGGTAGTCAGTGGTGGTGGTAGTTAGTGGTGGTAGTTAGTGGTGGTGATAGTGGTGGTGATAGTGGTGGTGGTAGTCAGTGGTGGTGGTGGTTAGTGGTGGTAGTTAGTGGTGGTGATAGTGGTGGTGGTAGTCAGTGGTGGTGGTAGTTAGTGGTGGTAGTTAGTGGTGGTGATAGTGGTGGTGATAGTGGTGGTGATAGTGGTGGTGGTAGTCAGTGGTGGTGGTAGTTAGTGGTGGTAGTTAGTGGTGGTGATAGTGGTGGTGATAGTGGTGGTAGTTAGTGGTGGTGATAGTGGTGGTGGTAGTTAGTGGTGGTGATAGTGGTGGTGATAGTGGTAGTTAGTGGTGGTGATAGTGGTGGTGATAGTGGTGGTGATAGTGGTGGTGATAGTGGTGGTGATAGTGGTGGTGGTAGTTAGTGGTGGTAGTTAGTGGTGGTGATAGTGGTGGTGGTAGTTAGTGGTGGTAGTTAGTGGTGGTGATAGTGGTGGTGGTAGTTAGTGGTGGTAGTTAGTGGGGGTGATAGTGGTGGTGGTAGTTAGTGGTGGTAGTTAGTGGTGGTGATAGTGGTGGTGGTAGTTAGTGGTGGTGGTAGTTAGTGGTGGTAGTTAGTGGTGGTGATAGTGGTGGTAGTCAGTGGTGGTGGTAGTTAGTGGTGGTGATAGTGATGGTAGTCAGTGGTGGTGGTAGTTAGTGGGGGTGATAGTGGTGGTGGTAGTTAGTGGTGGTGATAGTGGTGGTGATAGTGGTGGTGATAGTGGTGGTAGTTAGTGGTGGTAGTTAGTGGTGGTGATAGTGGTGGTGGTAGTTAGTGGTGGTGATAGTGGTGGTGATAGTGGTGGTGATAGTGGTGGTGATAGTGGTGGTGGTAGTTAGTGGTGGTAGTTAGTGGTGGTAGTTAGTGGTGGTGATAGTGGTGGTAGTCAGTGGTGGTGGTAGTTAGTGGGGGTGATAGTGGTGGTGGTAGTTAGTGGTGGTGATAGTGGTGGTGATAGTGGTGGTGGTAGTTAGTGGTGGTGATAGTGGTGGTGATAGTGGTGGTGATAGTGGTGGTGATAGTGGTGGTGGTAGTTAGTGGTGGTGATAGTGGTGGTGATAGTGGTGGTGATAGTGGTGGTGGTAGTGGGGGTGATAGTGGTGGTGGTAGTGGTGGTGGTGATAGTGGTGGTGATAGTGGTGGTGATAGTGGTGGTGGTAGTTAGTGGTGGTGATAGTGGTGGTGATAGTGGTGGTGGTAGTTAGTGGTGGTGATAGTGGTGGTGATAGTGGTGGTGATAGTGGTGGTGATAGTGGTGGTGGTAGTTAGTGGTGGTGATAGTGGTGGTGATAGTGGTGGTGGTGATAGTGGTGGTGATAGTGGTGGTGATAGTGGTGGTGGTAGTGGTGGTGGTGATAGTGGTGGTGATAGTGGTGGTGATAGTTAGTGGTGGTGATAGTGGTGGTGGTAGTGGGGGTGATAGTGGTGGTGGTAGTGGTGGTGATAGTGGTGGTGATAGTGGTGGTGATAGTGGTGGTGATAGTGGTGGTGATAGTGGTAGTTAGTGGTGGTAGTTAGTGGTGGTAGATAGTGGTGGTGATAGTGGTGGTGGTAGTTAGTGGTGGTAGTTAGTGGTGGTGGTAGTTAGTGGTGGTGATAGTGGTGGTGATAGTGGTGGTGATAGTGGTGGTAGTTAGTGGTGGTAGTTAGTGGTGGTGATAGTGGTGGTGATAGTTAGTGGTGGTAGTTAGTGGTGGTGATAGTGGTGGTAGTTAGTGGTGGTGATAGTGGTGGTGATAGTGGTGGTGATAGTGGTGGTGGTAGTTAGTGGTGGTAGTTAGTGGTGGTGATAGTGGTGGTGCTAGTGGTGGTGATAGTGGTGGTAGTTAGTGGTGGTAGTTAGTGGTGGTAGTGGTGGTGGTGATAGTGGTGGTGATAGTGGTGGTAGTTAGTGGTGGTAGTTAGTGGTGGTAGTGGTGGTGGTAGTTAGTGGTAGTTAGTGGTGGTGATAGTGGTGGTAGTTAGTGGTGGTAGTTAGTGGTGGTAGTGGTGGTGGTAGTTAGTGGTAGTTAGTGGTGGTGATAGTGGTGGTAGTTAGTGGTGGTAGTTAGTGGTAGTTAGTGGTGGTGGTAGTTAGTGGTGGTAGTTAGTGGTGGTGGTAGTTAGTGGTGGTAGTTAGTGGTAGTTAGTGGTGGTGGTAGTTAGTGGTGATAGTGGTGGTGATAGTGGTAGTAGTTAGTGGTGGTAGTTAGTGGTGGTAGTTAGTGGTGGTAGTGGTGGTGGTAGTTAGTGGTAGTTAGTGGTGGTGATAGTGGTGGTAGTTAGTGGTGGTAGTTAGTGGTGGTAGTGGTGGTGGTAGTTAGTGGTAGTTAGTGGTGGTGATAGTGGTGGTAGTTAGTGGTGGTAGTTAGTGGTAGTTAGTGGTGGTGGTAGTTAGTGGTGGTAGTTAGTGGTGGTGGTAGTTAGTGGTGGTAGTTAGTGGTAGTTAGTGGTGGTGGTAGTTAGTGGTGATAGTGGTGGTGATAGTGGTAGTAGTTAGTGGTGGTAGTTAGTGGTGGTAGTTAGTGGTAGTTAGTGGTGGTGGTAGTTAGTGGTAGTTAGTGGTGGTGATAGTGGTGGTAGTTAGTGGTGGTAGTTAGTGGTGGTAGTGGTGGTGGTAGTTAGTGGTAGTTAGTGGTGGTGATAGTGGTGGTAGTTAGTGGTGGTAGTTAGTGGTAGTTAGTGGTGGTGATAGTGGTGGTAGTTAGTGGTGGTAGTTAGTGGTGGTAGTGGTGGTGGTAGTTAGTGGTAGTTAGTGGTGGTGATAGTGGTGGTAGTTAGTGGTGGTAGTTAGTGGTAGTTAGTGGTGGTGGTAGTTAGTGGTGGTAGTTAGTGGTGGTGGTAGTTAGTGGTGGTAGTTAGTGGTAGTTAGTGGTGGTGGTAGTTAGTGGTGATAGTGGTGGTGATAGTGGTAGTAGTTAGTGGTGGTGATAGTGGTGCTAGTTAGTGGTGGTAGTTAGTGGTAGTTAGTGGTGGTGATAGTGGTGGTGGTAGTTAGTGGTAGTTAGTGGTAGTTAGTGGTGGTAGTGCGGCTGTAGTGGTGGTGGTTATGAGAGTAGCCACAGTACCCACGCTGAGTTGCCAAGAAGCAGGCTCTGCAAGGGGGCTCAGGGATATCGTATAAGGCAACTGAAATAAAAACAAATATATAATCGGTCTCCATCAGCGTATTGAGTTTACTTACTGATTTGGAATTTATATTTGAACCAAACTCTCATCATATCCGTGCTATTCTCAAATCTCAGTGAAGATAAATGTGACTATAAATGTATTGATGCCTCTTTTGCTTAGGCATCATTTGACGTGTCTGGGCCCACCTCCCTGAAATTGACACGAAACGCGTATTCGCGTTGCAACTAATAGCATTGTGTGATTGCAAGTGTAGCTGAGACATATGGGGAAATCGTGGTGTGGATTTCAAACCGTACCCAAGTCGATCATGGGACCTTCAACTTTGAAAATATTTTTACGAACATGGTCTCTTAAAAGCCCACTATAAACCATAACGCACAACCCTACCAAGCCACGCCCTTGCCCCGCGCACCCCCCCCCCCCACCCTCGAGTTGCTAGAACATTGCTCGCTGTACATAAGCTCCCTTCACTCTGCTGTCCGGATATGGAACTCCCTCGCTGATGAACGCATTATCGGAGGAATCACCGATTCCGGTCTTCGGGGCTTCACATGCCGGGCACACACGTGGGGCATCGCCTAACTTCACCGCACGCCTTGTAGGGGACTACTGAGTCTTGCAGCTGCAGTGAACCGACGATGATGACGATGTAGATGTTCTCATGTCTGGTATGGCTATTGGTCACAATTGCACCCAATAAAAAAAAAAAACACTGCTGAATTAACTTTTTTCTCAGCATAGCATTAATTAGTCCTGGAAGGCTAATGTATAGTGTTGATGAAATAAAAAAAAAAACAATCCAAAATGAAACAAGTACTTGGTACCTCTGTGTACTTTACATCACGTGCGCCGTTTGCTCTATTGACGTCGGACCGACAGAAGAAGCGTGATACTCGATAACACATTCAGCTTCAGAATGTCAGAAGGAAACAGTTCACTTAACTTGCTTGCCCCATAGCCATTTTGAGCAAACTTAAATTGTATCATGTTGATCCATCCTTCATGGATCTCATATTTCTCTTTCAGCCACATGGTAATATTGGAATGCGCCACCTGTTGAAAAGTGGAGGTTAATTCCTCTGTGACATCACTGAGCAGGCCATCATTTGGTCCAAACCTCAAAATTACCTAAAGCGCCCAACTGCAAAAATGTTAAAGAAGACAATAAATCTCACCAGGTAAAGCAAACAACACTGACCGACCGAACCAACAAATCTACAAAATAAAAACCCCACGCTCACCATCCCTGCCCCCCCCCCCCCCCCCACCTTGTCGATGAAGTTGGCGAAGCGGTCGTTGAGGTGCTTGATGGCCTCCTTCTCCTGGGTGCGCGTGGGCAGCACCGAGCGGTCGATGTCCACGGGGGCCGCGCAGGCCAGCGCCGCGGCCGACGCCGCCGCCCCCGCTCCGCCCACGCCGTAGCCGTAGCCGAAGCCGGACGCCGCCGAGCCGGCCCGGTAGCCGGACGTCAACGCGCTGCGGCGCGCGAGCCCTCCTGCGCCACCGACGCCGCTGACCCTACCCCACCCGCCGCTGCCGCCGAGCGACCGGCTGCTGAAGCCGGCGGAATACCGCGGCACGGAGCTGCGCACCGAGGCCTTCTTGGCAGTGGAGATGGTGATGCTGGCCATGGCTGCCTGTGAGACGACTCGTTGCGCTCCTCGCTACGCGCGGTGCGGGTGACGAGTGGGATTAACGCGAGCGGCGCACGGGCTGGGCGCGTGGTGGCAAGTGTCAGGCTGGCGTGGCGGGGATAGGTGGTTGAGTCGGTCGGTCGGTGGGAGGTGGCGGGGTGGGAGTGGGGGGATATAGTTATTTGACTTTGGGGCCTGCGAGAAACGTGCAAAAGCGTATGAATCACCTTTTATATCGGCCCAACTAATGCCGACATCAATCAGGGCCCTGTGTTTCTCGGTAATTGGTGGAAAATCTCCTGTGTAATTCCCAGGTTACACCCCGTGATGCGTCCCGTCGGGCGGCAATGGGTGTACGGCCGTTTGGTTAACGGCTTTAGTAGCACAAGTTCAAAATTAAATAATGACGCAATGTTACAAATGAGGTCATAAATTACACGTAATATATCAATGACACTCAAGCGGCAGTCTTAATTGTTTTTATCCGAACAAATGCTTTAATGGGAGAGAATAACCCAGGTTTTATTTGGAAGGTCTGTAAAAAAAATAAACTACCTGTGTAGGACTGGATTTAAAATACTGTAATCATAATAACAGCCCTTTAACAATCCAATGCAGCGTGAAGATATCCTCGTATGCTTTTAATTGGAGTTATTTGACCATACTTTACCACATTGGTTTGTGTAGGTTTTCGAAGGAAGGGACACGGGGCCAGTTCAGTTATCACTCGCCACTCATCATAGCCATGGCCTTAAATCAAACTCAGGTTGTCAAGTTAATGGGGCAGTTCGCGAACCACTGCACCAGCATTCAACATGGCGACTGTACCTCTAATGTTATTCACGTCAATGTATAATTCCATCATCATCATCGGCCATTATTTATCCATTGCTGGATAAAAGCCTCCCCGCGTTTCACAATCCCTCACGGTTCTCCAAAACCACAATCTCTCTCACTCCCGCCCTGCTCACCGTTCTATTTCCGCAGTGGCCAGTCCTCGCGGGCTGCCATCCCTTCAACAATCTCGTCCATCGGGCCTCATCTGCTCCATCGTGGGGCGTGTGTGGCTCATGGCTGCCGCAGGAGATGAACACCGCTCGAAGGAGATGAATGCTTTGCCGTCAATAAGTTCACACGTTTTGCTGAGCGGGTGATCGCGGCGCACCTCGGACACGGAGCACGACCTCGTGCCATTTGCCAGGTAACACCGAGATAAATAAAGGCGCAAATATCAATTTTGCATTCTCCTTTTTGCAAACAATACACGTAGCCCGCGTGCAGGTGCAAAGCGGACCGATACAGCGCAGGACAGGGAGAGATGGCGATGGCTTGCGGGAGGCCTTCATCCAGCAGTGGATTGATCATGACCGATGATGAATGAATAAAATACAGCACCCAGTGTGCTGTTGCATTCTACCGCTCAACTTTTTCCTGAGCGGGTGATGGAGCATTTTTTTTGTTTTAACCCGCGTGTAACGTGGACGCAGGCATGTGGCCCTGACATGCCTGCTCCAATTAAGTCGGAGCCGGTCATAACGGATCTTCATCATGGGATTGGAGCCTTAACTATGCAATTATAGGTCTTTATCCGACCCCGATGTTGCTGTGGTGTAATGGTTAGCGCGCCGACTCGGCAGGCCGGAGGTCCTCGGTTTGATTTTTTCTCGCAAACTAGTATGTGGCTGGCTAATTGTGACTTTCCATGTAACAAATGAACGTTGATCAATTTACCGATTTGTTCTTCCGGCGTGGCAGTTGCAACAAGAAGCAAGTTTCTTAAATTCACCCGCCTCTCTCCGCACGGCGGTATAAACGTGCAGACCACAGTTTGGCGGTTGACAGGTTGCGTTTGGTGGGGTAAAGTGTGGGTACTCCCCCTTCTTCCAAGGCGTTTGGTCAGTGTGGAAGAGTAGGCCTACGTAGCCTCGAGGGTCTCTCTAAATCTTCCTCTATTCACAGTTGAAAAACTTTTCTCTCAAATTGTTTTTCGACATTCTGCACAAGAGTTGAAATTTTAAAGTTGAAAGCATCGTAGGTATTTTCACCTTTTGTTAAAATATTTGTTTAAAGGTGTGTTTTGAGACAAAAGGCCATAGGAGACTTGGTGACATTAGGCTTTAGGCTACGCAAGAATATCTTTGTTGTTTGATAAACCCGATCTGGTGGTCAAATGTGACGGGATATATTGCTGCAGCTTTCTTAAAATAACTTCTGACTTTCGTGAATTGATGCCATGAATCACGGGGCATATGATGCGGTGTCCAATGCAGTGGTTACATGTTGACCCCCGATGCTCGTTAACAATTGCAGGGCAGAAAGTCGCAGTGTGATGATTTCTGCTGCGGTGTAATGGTCAGCACAACTGCACAGGCAGTCCAGAGGTCACCGGTTCATTCTCGGCCCCAATGCCTGCTGCGTACTTGGAGTCTGCACGTCTCTCTCCCCGTGGTCGCGTGGATTTTTCTCCGGGTCCTCTGGTTTTTCCCTCCACATTTCGAACCTACGTGCATTTAGACTACTCGGCTGCTACACGTATATGTGTATGTATGTTGAACTTTTTTCGCACCGTATATAGCCAACCATGCTAATAAGCTACAGTGAGGGAAATAAGTATTTGATCCCCTGCTGATTTTGTACGTTTTCCCACTGACAAAGAAATTATCAGTGTATAATTTTAATGGTAGGTTTATTTGAACAGTGAGAGACAGAATAACAACAAAAAAATCCCGAAAAACGCATGTCAAAAATGTTATAAATTGATTTGCATTTTAATGAGGGAAATAAGCATTTGACCCCCTCTAAAATCAGAAAGATTTCTGGCTCCCAGGTGTCTTTTATACAGGTAACGAGCTGAGATTAGGAGCACACTCTTAAAGGGAGTGCTCCTAATCTCAGCTTGTTACTTGTATAAAAGACACCTGTCCACAGAAGCAATCAATCAGATTCAAAACTTTCCACCATGGCCAAGACCATAGAGCTCTCCAAGGATGTCAGGGACAAGATTGTAGACCTACACAAGGCTGGAATAGGCTACAAGACCATTGCCAAGCAGCTTGGTGAGAAGGTGATGACAGTTGGTGCGATTATTCGCAAATGGAAGAAACACAAAAGAACTGTCAATCTCCCTCAGCCTGGGGCTCCATACAAGATCTCACCTCGTGGAGTTGCAATGATCATGAGAACGGTGAGGAATCAGCCCAGAACTACACGGGAGGATCTTGTCAATGATCTCAAGGCAGCTGGGACCATAGTCAAAAAGAAAACAATTGGTAACACACTACGCCGTGAAGGACTGAAATCCTGCAGCGCTCGCAAGGTCCCCCTGCTCAAGAAAGCACATATGCATGCTCGTCTGAAGTTTGCCAATGAACATCTGAATGATTCAGAGGACAAATGGGTGAAAGTGTTGTGGTCGCCGTGTTTGGAGGAGGAGGAATGCTGCCTATGACCCCAAGAACACCATCCCCACCGTCAAACATGGAGGTGGAAACATTATGCTTTGGGGGTGTTTTTCTGCTAAGGGGACAGGACAACTTCACCGCATCAAAGGGACGATGGACGAGGTCATGTACCGTCAAATCTTGGGTGAGAACCTCCTTCCCTCAGCCAGGGCATTGAAAATGGGTTGTGGATGGGTATTCCAGCATGACATTGACCCAAAATACACGGCCAAGGCAACAAAGGAGTGGCTCAAGAAGAAGCACATTAAGGTCCTGGAGTGGCCTAGCCAGTCTCCAGATCTTAACCCCATAGAAAATCTGTGGAGGGAGCTGAAGGTTCGAGTTTCCAAACGTCAGCCTCGAAACCTTAATGACTTGGAGAAGATCTGCAAAGAGGAGTGGGACAAAATCTCCTGAGATGTGTGCAAACCTGGTGGCAAACTACAAGAAACGTCTGACCTGTGACTGCCAACAAGGGTTTTGCCACCAAGCACTAAGTCATGTTTTGCAGAGGGGTCAAATACTTATTTCCCTCGTTAAAATGCCAATCAATTTATAACATTTTTGACATGCGTTTTTCTGGATTTTTGTTGTTATTCTGTCTCTCACTGTTCAAATAACCCTACCATTAAAATTATAGACTGATCACTTATTTGTCAGTGGGCAAACGTACAAAATCAGCAGGGGATCAAATACTTTTTTCCCTCACTGTACTTCGTTGAGCTATCATTTGCGGCCAGGTCATTTTTGCAAAAGAGCTATATAGCTCAGTGGGCCTCATCTGGTAAAATAAAAAAAAACTAGTTTAAATAGTTTAAACATAAACAAATAACAAGGAGCAAGTTCATTAACCCCCTCCCCACCCCAACTACTGGGGTGGGTTAAAGTGTGAGTGTTTCCACCACTTCCAAGACGTCTAGGGTAGGCTCTCTCGAGCTCCCTCTCGTGGGGACACTTTCGTTAGCAGTAGCCTGAGCAAGATATTGCGGGGCTGCACCTCCCCTGCCTTTTGCTTTTTCTACCATGAGATCGTAGTTCCTCACACAAGTCAGTCTAACGTCGTCACGTGGCAGTGTGTTGGTGAAGAAACCAAAACTAAACTTGTTATTTTACCAGGTGAGGTTGACTGAGCTATATAGCTCTTTTTTTCAGAAGTGACCTGGCCACAAAGGAAAGCTCAACGAAGTGGCTCATCTCGTGGAGATGTGTAGCAAGCCACAATCTCTAAACCAGGGGTCGGCATCCTTCCAAATAAGAACAGCCATTTAAAAAAAAAATGACCAAAGTATTTCGAGATGCTAAAATTAGAACTCAGTGAGAATGCAGCGCCAATGCGTTGTGTTAGCAGGTTTTATTTTTTTTCTTGAGATTTAAAGTGGCTGTGCGCCTGCATTCATGCAAATAAATTTTACAGCATCACACAACAAACCTTCCACCAACTATTGACACAGAACGGGCCATGTTCCTCCTCTTCACCAAGGAAGCCTCTAGAATCGACGAATCTTTGCCCGCGCCTGCACTGTCTCGTGAGAGTTAGACAATTCAAAATGTCCATGAAAAAACTATGACCACGCGCACTCGTGCGCAGCTTAATCTTCCCCGTGGGCAGCATTGGGTGCTCTAAATCACATCGCAAGGGAGAGAGCAATGTGCACGAGTGTCTTACGCACCATTTCCATCCAACTCGTGCCATTCAGACTTAAGCTGTGAATAAAGCGCGATTGTACAATCCCGTAAATGCTTGGGTAAAAAAATAATTAAAAAAACACCTTACTCTTTCCCCCACCCAAAAGGCAATAATTTGGAACAGGTGCAGGTTTTATCCGGACAGTTAAACCCAGAGAATTGCAGGAAAAAAAACGCATTACCCCAACTGTTGGCTTGATTGATAGAAGCACATTGAAGGGGTGTGGGGTGGAGGCCATCGGAAACCACAGTGTGCTTTGTTTTTGGGGAGTAGAGAAGTAACCTAATAATCTGCAGCCCTTTGTCAATGCACCGGTGCCTAAAAGGGTCCTCGGCCACTCTGCGCCGCTCGCGAGAGTTGACTGTCCACACGTCCCCACGCAGCGCGTGGCTGCTGGCCGTGGTCGGGAATCGATCGTCGGGTTGACAGCGCGGTGCGCTAATCGCTGCGCCACCACTCCACACCCCCCCCGCCCCCCGCGGGAAAAGTAAGCGGGGTTAATTTCGCCGATGAACGAGGTCACATCCCCATAATCGGGATTCCGCCGAGATGACCTCATGATCCTCTGCTCCCTATTGCACAATCCGTGATGCTTGCAATTATTGCACCGTTAAAAGTGTAACGCATTTTCTTTGGTTCTTTCGGTAAAGTCATGTAGAATGAGAATAAAATAATAAAATAAAATAAGACAATACAAATTCTCACAACGTTTCGGCCACAACGCAGAACTGTCGGGACGACAGAGCTTCAATGAACGCTGCTAAGATTCGTAGTGATACAGATGTGGGGAGCGGTGGCGCAGTGGTTAGCACACTTGGGGAGCTGCTCTCCATTCCCATACCAAACCGGTCCTGCGCCCCCCCCTCTTCACCAACCCACATTAACAAGCACGGTCAAGTCTGGTCAAACAACCCCCATGAGTGACACCATGTGAAGGAGGCCTTCACCCAGCAGCTTGGAATTGACCAACAGCTCTAATCTTGTATTTGTACTAATCTTGTATTTGTACTAATCTAATTAAAAACCTGTATTGGTCTTCGTCAAAGACAACATGTCCCAGTATCGCAATGGGGTCAGCTGCTCAAAATGTGTGTTCTCCGTGTGCTTCTATTCTCCAGCTCATCTGGAGTCAACATCCTCGGTCCACTCAACATCCTCCGCAGTCTCTCCTCTAGACACCATTTGTCCTGCACAAGTCACATCTCTGGATCCCCACCAACCTATGGGCCTCTTTGTGAGTACATAAACTAAACTATTTATTTTACTCTTTGGTTATTTCTGTGAAGTCACGTGACTTTACTGAAATAACCAATGTCACGAAAGCGCCAAATCTATATTTGATTTTATTTTACCAAGCAAGGCCCACTGAGCTACGTAGCTCTCTTTCAGAAGCGATCTGGCCACAAATGATTGCTCAACGTAGTGGCTTATCATGTGGACATTTATAGCAGCCACATACTCTCAAACACATTTTTCTAAACGTGGAAGTTAAAAACCGGAGGGCCCGGAAAAAATTCCATGCGAGAGACATGAAAACTCCAAATATATAGGCTTCAAGGTCCGGGAATGAACCCACAGCTTCCTGCATACCAGGTGAGGGAGTTAACATCTCTTTGTGAGCACATGCATCCGTGTGATTTTATGGGTCTCGATATATATAGCGTATATGGGTCTCAGTGCGAGTCTGTATGAGTCTACGGGTCTCTAGTTTGACTATGTATGGGTCTCTGTGTGAGTCTATGAGTCTCTGTGTGAGTCTATGGGTCTCTGTGTGAGTCTATGGATCTCTGTGTGAGTCTATGGGTCTCTGTGTGAGTCTATGGGTCTCTGTGTGAGTCTATAGGTTTCTGGTTTGACGATGGTTCTCTGTATGAGTCTATGGGTCTCTGTGTGAGTCTATGGGTCTCTGTGTGAGTCTATGGGTCTCTGTGTGAGTCTATGTGTCTACAGTTTGACTACGGGTCTCTAGTTTGACTATAGGTTTCGATGTAAGTCTATGGCTCTCTATGTAAGTCTATAGGTTTCTGGTTTGACGATGGTTCTCTGTGTGAGTCTATGGGTCTCTGTGTGAGTCTATGGGTCTCTGTGTGAGTCTATGGATCTCTGTGTGAGTCTATGGGTCTCTGTGTGAGTCTATAGGTCTCTGTGTGAGTTTATGGATCTCTGTGTGAGTCTGTGGGTCTCTGTGTGAGTCTATGGATCTCTGTGTGAGTCTATGGGTCTCTGTATGAGTCTATGGGTCTCTATGTGAGTCTATGGATCTCTGTGTGAGTCTATGGGTCTCTGTGTGAGTCTATGGGTCTCTGTGTGAGTCTATAGGTCTCTTAATCTCCACGGCCCTTCTCATTGCATCTTCTTTGTCTGTTAGCACATGCACAAACCATCTAATTCGAGACTGCTTGACCTCAAGGCTACGAATAATCACCGCTTACGCTCGAACTTATTCCTTCTTATTTCACGCAGAGAGATGCCTAACATCCATCTCGCCATTCTCATCTCTGCCCATTCAAGCGTTCTGCCTTATTCTCACACAGTGGCCCACGTCCTTTGCAGTCTGCGCCCGTACAACTACACTGCTTGTTACAGTATCACTGTCATCTCCATCCAGTTTCACCGGCGCACCCAAATATCTGCATGAATGAGATGGCATTGGCTGGAGGGGCCTAGGCTACATGATGTCTCGTGGTGTAAGAACTCAAACGGGGGCCCCCCAGTTTGAGTCCGTGGACTCATGTGTTGGGGGGGGGGGGGGGTGCGGGGTGCGTCGAGATTGAGTCACGACCAAAATCCTCACCCAACGTGATGGGCCGCGGCGTGCATGCACCACGACACGGAAATTCAAGAAGGGGAACGCACAAGCCTGCTTCTGATTGGGTGCCTTTAACGGGGCCTGAAAGGGGATTGGTTGGGGGCAGGGAACTGAAGGGGCTTGGAGGTAGAAAGATAAACGTGTAAAAGGGCGGAAAACGGAGGGATGATTGCCAGGGGTTGGAACGGTTGGGACTCCGTTGGGAAAGGTGGAAGGCGACGATTGGCTGGGTGGAAAGCGGAAGGTCGAGGAACTTTCATGGAAAGGGGCTTGAGGGGGATATGTAAAGGGGGGAAGCGAGGGAGTTCGGGACGCTTGGAGTGACGGGAATCCTTGAACAAGACCAGTGTTCTCGTGCTGGAAGAAATAAAGACTCCTATATTGATGACTACTGTGTCAGCTGTCAATATGTATTCAGCGATTGCACGTGGGCAAGACAAATTACGATATGTTCCAAAGAAACTTAAATTGTCTGTAGAGGCGTTCAGTGACTTGTGAAACGGCAATGGGTGACTCTACATTAATTTCCCTTTTTACGTCAAGGCTCAATCCGATCATTCACCACTCGAACCGTGAACAAAACCAAGCCGGCTCGGGGAGAACACGGCGCTGTCTGGAAGGATGGTTCGATGTTCAAAACTAAAAAAGTTGTAAAGAATCGAGTTTGTCAATCTAGATTATTTAGAAGCGCATAAGCTCCAGTGGCTTCCTCATATCGGAAGGATCAGAGCGTTCCAGACGGCCGCGATGCAAGTGACCGTCTTTGTTCGATGGCCAGCCAAAATCCGCTGCTGCTAGGATGACTGCCGGAGTTTCGTCATGGTGGTTCATGCTCCTTGTCGAGACCACCAAGGTGCTGTGGATCATCTCTGGCCAGCGCTTTGTGTGTGACATCGGTTCGTTGTGCAGGTGCCAGGTGGATCGTTACGTCACAGAGTGGGGAGCGGTGGTGTCGCGGTTAGCGCTACGAACCCGGCGACCCGGGTTCGATTCCCGCTCACGGCCAAC